GGGATTTGAGGTTATCTCCCTTAGGAAGGGGTGTGTTCTCTCTGTGAGAAGAGCAAAAACAGGTATTTGGCTTAGAAAGACAGAGACAGACTGGAACACACAAGAAGTCTGTGTTTTCTTCTTCCTAAACCCACATCCAGACTTCATGTCCCGTCCCACTAGAGTTGCCAGATTTAGCAAATAAAAACACAGGATGCCCAGTGAAATTTGAATTTCAGATAAACAAAAAAAATTTCTTAGTATAAGTATATCCTGTGCAACATTTGGGACATAATTATACAGGAAAAAAATATGTATTTACCCAAAATTCAAATTTCACTGAGCATCCTGTATTTCAACTGGCAACCCTACTTCTCAGCCTCCCTTGCAGTTATATGTGATGTGTGACTGAGGCTAGGGGCATGAAATGGGACTGATGTCCATTTCTCCCAGACCTGGCCTCTTAAAACCTCTGAAAGCAAAGGACTCGGAGCATCTAGATGAGGGGAGAGTCACAAAATGGAAGAAGCCCAGGTCCCAAATGATTGGGTAGAACAGGCCTCCCTCCCCAAACCTGCACAAGCTTACGATGTAAACAAGAAAGGAACTTTTATGATGAAGCCACTGAGTTTTGGAAGTTGTTTATTACAGCAGATAGTCTATCTTGAATAATATCTCTAATCCCTAAATTCAATAGCTCTTCTAATCCTTTTCTTAATAGTATATGACCCTGGTAATCATTTCTTTCTTCTTCAAACACTTTCTTCCCTGATACTATTTTTTTCTAGTCCTTTAATGATGATGATGGTGAAAGGAGAAGGAAGAGGAGGAGGAAGAAAGAGGAATAGCTACCATTCATGATGTTTTTACTGTGGGCCACGGGCTGTGCTAGTGCTTTATCTAGTGTCTCATTTAATCCTCATAACTACTCTGTGTGGTGGGTGCTATCAACCCCATTTTGGAGGTGAGAAAACAGGTTTAGAGAAGTTAAATCACTTGCCCAAGGTCCCACAAGCCTTCTCTCTCTACATTTTTCCTTTTGACGATCCCATCCAATATCATGGCGGCTGTAATGTCTGTGTGGATGGCTCACTGACTTTTCTTTGTCTCCACTTCCACATTTCCTGGCCTATCAATGTGCTGTTGGCACTGCAAACTCAGCATATTCCAACTATACAGCTACTCCTTTGTCATACTGTTCTAAATACTTTTCATTTGTGGCACCTGGGTGGCTCAGTCGGTTGAGTGTCTACCTTCAGCTCTGGTCATGATCCTGGAGTCCTGGGATGGAGCCCCATGTTAGGCTCCCTGCTCAGTGGGAAGTCTGCTTCTCCCTCTCTCACTCCCGCTGCTTGCATATTCTCTGTGTGTGTCTGTCAAATAAGTACGTGAAATCATTAAAAAAATAAAATACTTTTCATTTAATTTCCATGATAACCCTGAGATAATGTTATTCATATCTATGAGGTGGAGTGTTATCCACATTTCACAGATGAGTAAACTGAGGCTCAGAGATTCAGTAGCTGGCTCACATTGATACATCAGTCCACAGCAGCTCTCAATGATAATACCTCAGTCCTACTCACACTGAGCTCTCCCTGTCCTGTTCTGCTGCCTGCTTCCTATACTCATTCTCTGCCCTTAACTTTCAAATCCTTTCCATCTTTTAGGGTCTAATTCAAAGGCTATTTCCCCACCAAGTCTGTTCAGGTATTCTAAGATAGAAGGGATCTCCACCTTGTGTGAATTTACAGAGGACTTACTCTGTACTTATCTTTTCATAAGCATACAAACAAAACTTTAATTCCTTCTCATCATAAAAAGTTCAAGGAGGGAGATACAGAGTGAGAAGTTTATGTGGCCCTTTGGTCCCCAGAGTTTACCAGTTTCTTCTTTTTTTTTTTTTCTAAGATTTTATTTATGGGGCAGCCCGGGTGGCGCAGCGGTTTAGCACCACCTTCAGCCCAGGGCATGATCCTGGAGACCTGGAATCGAGTCCCACATCAGGCTTCCTGCATGGAGCCTGTTTCTCCCTCTGCCTGTGTCTCTGCCCGCCCCCTCTCTGTCTCTCATGAATAAATAAAATCTTTTTTTTTAATTTATTTATTTATGAGAGAGAGAGAGAGAGAGAGAGAGAGAGAGAGGCAGAGACATAGGCAGAGGGAGAAGCAGGCTCCATGCACCGGGAGCCCGATATGGGATTCGATCCCGGGTCTCCAGGATCGCGCCCTGAGCCAAAGGCAGGCGCCAAACCGCTGCGCCACCCAGGGATCCCTAAAATCTTTTTTTTAAAAAAAGATTTTATTTATGTATTTGAGAGAGATAGTGCACACAAGTGGGGGGCGGAGCAGGGGAGAGAAATAGACTTCCCACTGAGCAGGGAGCCAGATACATGGAGGGCTCAATCCAAGGACCCTGGGATCATGACCTGAATCAAAGGTAGACACTTAACCAACTGAACCACCCAGGTGTCCCTGTCAGTTTCTTTTCTTTTCTTTTTTAAAGATTTGATTTACCTATTCATGAAAGACAGAGGCAGAGACACAGGCAGAGGGAGAACCAGGCTCCATGCAGGGAGCCCAATATGGGACTCGATCCAGGCATTCTGGGATCACACCCTGAGCCAAAGGCAGAGGCTCAACCGCTGAGCCACCCAGGTGTCCCGTCCCTATCAGTTTCTATCTTGATTAAAGTTTCTGTGTATCTGCTACTAAATCTATTAGATAATTATTTGAGGACAGGAGGTATAGAGAGTCATCTTTAGTTCCTAAAATAGGCATTCATAAACAATTGTTGAAGGAATTGATCAATTTCAAATCCTGTGAGCCTGCACACACTACATTTTTAGATGAAGGTGAGAAGGTCGTTCAGGAAAAGAAGTGATTTTTTCCCCAAGGGGACTGGTAAAGACATGTCAAACACTCCCTCTCCTCCCACCTTCATTAAAGAACAAAAAAGCATCTACTTCTTAGGTGTATGAAGCGTCTGGTTTCTGTTTTAGCTGGGTCTCAGAAGGAAATGACTTTTCTCTGAAATTGTAGACGCCCAACCCAGCTGCAGCATTGTTAGGCCTCAGGGTAAACAGGAAGCTTCCCGCCTTGGGCCCTTCATGTCCCTCTCCCAGACTATTAAAGACTGTTAATAGGATGGTAAAAGGACAGCTGCTGGCCATAAAATCAGCCCATTCCTTAGATCCTTGGAGAACAGCAACTAGATTCCTCCAAGTTCAGAGAGAAAACTGTGTCTGTCTGCAAGTCACACACCAGGTTAGTCCACCTAGCTGGGGTCCTCAGTTATCTCCTCTATGTTCAACTGTAGCCATAATGGCCTTTGCAGCATACCAGTGTGGTTCCTTGGTATTAGTTGAGAAGGTGGAATTTCCATTTATAGGGTTTCTGGTCCTTGAATGTATTTGTGGGAGCAATCTGTCCTGAATATCCCCCAAAAAGAGAGAAAGAGGAGAATCCATGAGAGCAAAGGATCTAGTGCTCCTATCTCTGCAATACAGAGCTGAAACAGGACCTCAAGTCTTCCTGCACACAGGGTGGAAGTCCCTGGATTTGCAGCTGTTGGTGAGGAGGGAGGGAGCAATTTCTGCCAACTGGAGGGACACTAGGGCAGGGGTTATCCTCTTTTGCCAAGAAGGGCACTCGGGTGTCTTGGCAGAAGGCAGAGGGCTGCCCCAATCTGCGTGTACATTTTCAGAAGCATTTGACTCTGGACCAAATGCTCTCAGCTGTGCTAAAGCTGGGGCAATGGATGGGAAATGCTTATTGGCCAGGCTGACTAGAGGCTCCAACAGAGGGTGTTGGGGCTCAGCCAGGAGCTTCCCTTCAGCTGGCAAGTTTAGCTTTCTGTCATGGTCAGAGGGAGTGTGTCAAAATTCCAATTCTCAGTGCTCTCCAGAAGCTATGATTACCCATCTATTTTGAAGTTTCTGCTTGTTGGAATTTTTGGCTCAAATAGGGAATGAGTGGTGATGATGCAAAGCCTCTTACCTCGCTCAAAGAATGAGCAAAAAGAGCTCAGCAGGAGTCAATGCTCTTACTACCAGCACAGTGATGGGCTCATAACCAAATGGGGACCAGGAAGATAATATTTCATTCAACCTTGGACTGTGCAACAATTTATGAATTCATGCTGCCTTGTTGGCATCTCTGACCCATGTCTACCAATCAAGTAAGCACAGACCCTCGGGCACAGCAGGAAAACCAGTCACAGCTCAGACGATTTACTTGCCTGGAGCAGATTTACTTACACAGAACAAGGAACCTTATTTGCCAGGTGTCGCTGCTTTTCTTCTTTCAGAGGAAAGGTCACTTAAGTTACTCCTCAGAGTTGCACCCAAGGAGGGAGAGTTTCTTTAGAGCATTGAAAGCAGGAGAACAGGATATTTTCTCCTAAAATCACGTTTGAACTTCTACCTGAGTGTTTAGACTGGGATGATTCCATTCTTAAAGCAGCTCTTAAAATCTTAAAGCAGAAAGGGACCTACTATATTATGTGGCCCACCCCCTCACCTCTCCCAGTACACTAATATCTCCCCCAGTTTCAGAAGAGGTCACTGGGGCTGTGAAAACTCTGCCAGGGTCACACAGCTGATAAGTGGGGCTCTCCTGAGAAGACTAGAATCCAAGTCTCCTGCCTCTTTGTGCAATGTTCATTTTACCATGACTTTTTCCCTAAGTATTTTGTTTTATTTTTAAAAACGTAATTCAAGGGCACGTGGGTTAACTTGGTTGGTTAAGTGTTCGACTCTTGATCTCAGCTCAGGTTAGTGATGTGAGTTCAAGTCCTACCCAGTGTGGAGCCTACTTAAAAAGAAGCAAATAAGGGCAGCCCCGGTGGCGCAGCAGTTTAGCACCGCCTGCAGCCCAGGATGTGATCCTGGAGACCCAGGATTGAGTCCCATGTCGGGCTCCCTACATGGAGCCTGCTTCTCCCTCTGCTTCTCTCTCTCTCTGTGTCTCTATGAATAAATAAATAAAATCTTAAAGAAAAGAAGAAAATAAGTAAATAAATTCATTGCACAATCAAAAGTTGTTTAATTTGCATATCAAGATTTTTTCATATAAATAAATAAACAAATCATGACAATAATAGAAACAATATCCCATTTAGAAAAGATGGCCCTACTTTATTTATTACTGCCAGTACACTTGTTCAGGCCTCCATCATCATGTGTCAACTATTACCAGCCTATCAGCTAGAGCCATTGATGAAACTCATATTCAAATAATTTACATTTAAATTTACATGTGGGTCAGTGGTGAGTTTACAATCATCTCTGCTATGCTTGGTTGACAAGACAAATCCAAGTGTACTTTAAACCTAGAGTAAGATTTCTTCCCTTACAGAGAAAACAGTTACTGCTCTAAAATTTGCCACAGCCAGGACCATATGGGGGCTCTCCCGTAGCTCACATTCTTCCCATCCCTGATCAACCTTCAGAGAGACTGGAAGTTCCTAAAGGAAAGATCAAGGGTCTCAGGGAAGCACACACAGTTCTAGTGTGTATTTGTACTTCCAGACCCTGAGATTCCAGGTCATGTCCAAGGTAGGAAGTTGCAATGTAGGAGTAGTCCCAAGAGCCAGTAAGACAGGAAGTAGCCCAGAATACATCGTGTGACCAGTGAACAGGCTTTCCAGTTGTATAGAAGTCCCACAAGAGAATTTCTGGGAACCTTTTGTCTTGCTACAGATTCCCCTGCAAGTGGCTTCCAAGGCACAGTCTCTGGGGATCTCAGCAGTGGCTCTTGATTCTGAAGCAAATAAGCTGGAAACCAGTACACAATAGGAGTGGAGGAACCCAGAAACCTGGTGAGGACCTGGAAATCATTAAGGGGGGGGGGGGGGAAACCCACACATTTATTAGAATATCACTGCTTCAAATTGGACCAGCCTGGGGCTTCCCTGCTGCTGGGTAAACTATAGGCCCATAACTAGAAATGTATTGTTCTGGAAAAGATTTAGCAGAACTTAGAATCTGCCTTATAAAGAGCTGTGTGTGACACCAGCCAGGTGACTTCAATGTTACAAATAAGCAAAGCTATGGCTAAGTACTACAATAATGGGCCAATCAGCACTAAAAACTCTATGGGGTCCAATTTTAGCCTAGGGCCTGGACTCTAAATGCTAGGCTGTGACGTGGGGCTTTGGGAACCTGAAGTGGTTCCCTCGTCCCCCAGGGATGGCAAAACAGGAGGGAAAAGGGGGCAGAGGATCCTGTGGTTCAACATTTTCCCTCCTAGAGGAATTCAGAGCCAAGTCTCCACATGGCCTCCCTCATCTAAGCTGGAAACTCTAAGCTGTGCTGGCACTCACTCTACTAGTTAATCCAGCTACAAACACAGAATGCTACTTTCTATTTCCCCTGTGCCTCTTACTCATACAACTCAGAAAACTTTACAAACAGTCAATGTGCGCCTCCAAGAGGCAGAAGCTGTTAAGGAGTGGCCAGCATGGAGGAAAAAACTTTCACGGGGTTATGTGGGAACTGGGGCCCTAGCCAGGAATAAAAACATTTAAAGTATCAAAGGCTTCCCATCCCTCTGTCCATCCCCCACCCCACCCCAAACATTGCACAAGGGATCTTCTCAAAGACTGAACACCTGCCAGAGCTGAGAGTGCCTTGAGTCAACATTCCAGTAGACACTCAGTGTAACAGGACAGGAGGGGAAGGTCCCGAGCTCTCCTCTGTGCTTATTCCTTTATCTCAGTCACATCAGATCCTTCCACAACTCTTGTGTCTCTGCACACACACCCTTCATTTTCCCAGAATATTCTTCCTCTGCCTCTTAAATGCAATTCCTTCTTACTCTTTAGGACCCAGCCTTAAAATGACTCCCTCAACTCCTTCGGTCCATTAGCTACTTTTTCCTCTGCATTTCCACAATACTTTATCTGAAAACAGCAGCTCCTCTTCCATCCCACTGTACTAGAATTTTATCTGTCAAATGTCTATCTCCTCACTTTTACTATGAGACCCACTAGGGCGGCAATCTTATCGCACTCATGTTCCATTCTTCAGTGGTCTGATTAGGGTCTGAACAAGGAAAGCCCCCAAATAGTTGTTGAATGAATAAATAGGTACAGGTCACTCAAATGGGAGAGACTAGCAGCCTTCCTCATCCCTGGTCAAGGGGTTTTGCCTGTATTCACACCTTTACCCCAGCCAGGAACCCACCTCACCTGGACATGCATGTAGACACCACCAAACAGCAACAGCGCTGCAGCGTGGACCAGGTACACAAACACCCGAGGACTGAGGAATCCAGGATGAGATTTCTCTCGGGTCTTACTGTTCTTGCTCCTTCGCATCCCAAGTGTAAGGCAGAGCCATGGGTGGGTGGTCACATATGTCCATGTTGCCCAGGCAACCAGTATAGCCACTGGTGCAGCCAATAGGAAATTGGGCACCTGCTTGAACTCATAGTATCGCAAAAAGCCAACATTCCAGTAGAGATCCTGGATATAGCTATATATTAAGGGAAGTTTCCAGGAGCACCAAGGTGGCTCATTTCCCTCCACAGTCCGGTAGCCCTTGTCCACAGCTAACTGCAGCAAGGGCTTAGGGATGGGGCGGGCAGAGCCTGGCAGACAGAACTGGGTGTAGGCATAATACTGAAAGAGGGCAAAGGGAAGGCCAAGTGTGAACAAAGACAGGAACACAGAGCCCATCAGCATCAAGAGCTGTCTGAGAGGATTCAGCACCATGAGAGAAGACAGAAATCCCTGGCACTGAGAATACACGAGGAAGCCAATGTTGACCAGTCCATTGGAGCGAACACCAGTGGCAAGGGCAAAGAGGAGTCCACTAGTCCAGCTTCGGCCCCTTTCCAGCTGCCCCATGGCGCTGAATGTCAGGAGGGCAAACAAAGCTTCTGAGTAACCAGCTGCCAGGAAGACATTGGCGGGGCTGAGGCAGAAGAGCAGGGCTCCATAAAAGGCCTGGCGGGGACAGCGCAAAACCAGACAGCCCAGGTCATGAAGTGCGACAGTGGCTAGCACGGAGAACAAAGAATTGAGCAATGCTACTGAGATTAACAGGCGACTCCGTAGGTTCACTAATGCCCGCAGGGGTCTCAGCAGTTCAGCTCCCACCAAGAGAGCCAGGGGGAAGCCAGGGAAGAAGGCAAAGTTATGCTCATATAGATAGCCGTGCTCAGCAATGAACAGGAAGTGTTCAGCATCCCAGTGAGACAGGCCACCCAGGAGACCTTCCACGAGTTGGTCCACAACGCCTGAGGGGGTGAGGTGAGGAGGAGAGAAGGCTTCTGCACGGTGATCTGGGATGATGGCATTGAAGAGAGCCTGTGGGATGAAGGAGAGCTAGGATTTTGGTTGAGCAACTGGAAGGCAAGAAGTACCATTTAATAAAATGAGGAAGAACAGATTTGTTAGAGGACAAGCAAGAGTTCGGTTCCAGACTAAGTTTGAGTTATACATTCCAGTGCAGAAGTCAACGAGGCAGTGAGATATTAGTAGGTCACTAGTAAGTTTGACAAGAGCTATTTCTCTATCCTCTATGGACTGGGTTCAGCAGAGAAGAGGAGAAAGAAGACAGTGCATACAGACAACTATTTGGATAAGTTTGGCTGTAAATGGGGTAGTAGTAGATGAACAATCATGTGAAAGAGAAGTATCTGTGAATGGGAATAATCCCATGGAAAGGAAACCACTGAGTATGCAGGGGAGAGAGGAGAATTGCTGGTGCAGGCAAAAGGGGGTAGGAACTGCTACACAGGTAGGGGAGCAAGCCTGAGAGAACAGCCAGGTTTAGCCCCACCTCACCGGTGAAGGCACAGAGATGCAGAGGTAGATACAGATGTGGTGGGAGCATGCCCAGGGTCACTTCTGACTGCATCTATTTTTCTGAGTTTTTGCTCAGGGAAGCAAGTTGGGGAAAAGGTGTTAAGGTCTTGAATAAAAAAACAAACACATAAAATAAGTCATCTATGACCCTAGTTCTCAAAATAGGCTGTCGTGCACTGGAATCATCTAGAGAGTTTCAAAAATACTGATGCCTGCATGTCTGGGACCTTCCCCCCGAATTAATGATTTAACCAGTAGGGGATACAGCCTCGTCACCGAGATTTTTTTTAAGCTCCCCCACGTTATTATGATGTGCAGAACAATCTGAGAGAATGGCAGGGTGCAAGGGCCAGGGAAATACACTAAGATAGCCAGGTAGCACTAAAGAACCCACTTGGGCCAAAGATCTTGAAGAGAAAGAGACTGGTCAATACAACTATGTGTTTCTCTCTGGGCATGATGCAGAAGTAGAGACAGAATGAAACTGAGCCACAGCTGAGCTTCAGTCTCGTGACTTAGCCAGGGAGAGGGAAGCAAGTGAGTTGTGCACGAATGCCTGGTGGACCATGGAATCTACCTGGGTAAGAAGGGGCACAGTAGCCATAAGGTGGGTGAGACACTGTGAAACGACGGTGGAATCAATGATTATAAGTCCTGAAGGTGTGAAAGAGCAGTTAGAACTGGGGTACTAGAGGGAGTGAGCTGGGAAGATAGGAGATAGTGGTGAGTTGTATCAGCTTTATTAATATTGAAACCACTAAGAAATCAACAGTAGTTGATTGTCAGCTACTTAAAGGAAAAGACACCATAACTTTTCATTCTCACCACCTAGCACAGTTCTTGGAACAGAGCAGGCACTTAATACAATCATGGTGGTTGAGGGAGGGGAGAAGAGATATGCTCCTTTCCAAATCAACCCTCTGAATTAGTCTTGGTTCTCTATCCCATATGCCAGTTCACAGTCCTGCCCTGGGGGGGCCTGCCAATCACTCATCTGATGCTGTTTGGAGCCATCACTGGGTCAGTTTCCCCAACCCCACAACTTGGGTATAACCCCATTCTTAGAAGGCTCTTTCTCTTTTTGGTCAGTTTCTTTATCAGGCCACTTTAAACAGTGAAAACGAATGGGACAGGAGTGACAGTAACAGATAACAGCCCCAGTCTCCAAGTTGAAGCTACTGTTGACTAAACCTGGGATGAAATAGAGGCGGCTATGCCTCATAGTGCGGGAAGGGAGAAAGGAGGTTTCCAGAAAGGAAACAGAAAATGGCATTTGTGGGGGAAGAAAGCACATGTAACTATGCTAATATAACATGCCTGCATCATTGACATACAGTCAACAACAGCACACACTGAGAACATGATAAAGTAAACACCAGGCTCTATGCTAGGCACCAGACAGAATTCATCTATGTGTGAAACTGGATTAAAATGTGTCAAGGGAGCCTTGGAGGGCAAAGGGAGTTGCAAAAGTGCAAATGCATTCCAAAGGTTGTGATGAGTGAGGCAGCAAGGGGAGACACCCCCCTCCCCTGCCCCAGGAAAGAGCTGGGGACATTGCTGACTAGCCGAATATACAGATTGTCTCAGGACAGAGCCGCTCAACTAACTGACACCATGCTCAGTCTCCTGGTAAGAGGACCCAGGGCAATGCCTTGGGCTGTCGCACCCTACAGGCATCTCTAGTTACAGAACCTCGTGGTCTATTGGAAAGAGCACTAGCTCAGGAGTTAGGAATGCTGGGGTCTGATTCTGGCCCTTGTCTAACTTGCTATGTGTCTTTAGGGAAGCCATTGAACCTTTCTGGGCCTCTGCTGGTTCACATGTAAAACAAGGGATTAATAAACCGTTTCTGGGCGCCTGGCTGGCTTGGTTGGTAGAGCATGAGACACTTGATCTTGGGGTTGTAAGTTCAGGTGCACATTAGCGTGGAGTTTACTTAAAAAAATAAATAAAATCTTTTAAAAAACACAGACCATTTCTAAGAGTCCTGCCCACCTTTCAATGATCAGGTGTAGGTGTCTATGGTTCCAACCACATGGAAGGGCACCTGGGAGGCAGAAAGACTATGGGGACGGTTCTTGGTGCCTAGCCCCATCATGTGGCAATAGCATGTTCAGGACAAAAGAGCAGAGACTGACCTGTAGCACCAGAGTCAGGACACGGCAGCTGACTGCAAACCTCAGCACCTCTTTCCTGGACTGGTCCAGGGGCCACATCCTCTCACTGCTGGGAACTCAGGGGTGCTGCTGCCAGGGCTGAGCTCCCACAGGCTTCTAAACTCCAAAACCCAAGGAAGAAATGTCATACATGGGCTGAAAATAAATTCTTCTCCCCCCCACCCCCCGACACCAAAGTAAATTCTTGAAAGCATTCTTCACAGGAGACTCTCCCTTCAGCATTACATGGCAAACTCAACTGCCTAACTGCCTAGGTGAACGAAAAGGTGTCACTTGGAAGCACTGTATTGTCAGGAAAGTTCTACATAGATAGGCATGAAGGTGGCAGCTAAGCTCACAGAAAATCTTTAAAAGCCCGCGATGTAGCCCTGTGCGGGAACTAAAGACTTGGGTTCAAGTCCTGACTCTGTCACTCACAAGTTCTCATTCAGTCCTACTGGGCCTCGGTTCTTTATGTATAAAATAGGATCCGACTGTTTTCTTTTTTCCAGCCTGTTTTCTCTCACAAAATTGTCATGATGGTGAAGTGGCCGAAAGTGTGAAGAAGTACCACCAAACCCATGTTGTGGTTACTATTATTTGGTGTGTGCCCTTTTCCTCTTGCCCAGAATAATAAACTACATCCCAAACCAGAGTCCCAAAAGTGGGGCACAGAACTCAACTGGAAGACCATAATGACTACACACTCTAGCCTCGCTCTCTGATGTGTGTTCAGCTGGTCTGTGAAATTAAGTGGAGAAGGAAAAGAAAACCACCACCCAGCAGGACTTCAGCCAGCTCACATTGCTAAAACAAACTCAGGGGGGAAGAGAGAGTCGGCTACTAGAGATGGGGAAAACTGTTATTTCCCCATCTCTTTGTTGGAATGGCAGCAATCTATAAACAACTGCAAAGCCATTCTGAGGCAAAGAATGAACTTTAAGGCTTTTATTTTATTTTTTGTTTTTAAACACAATTCCTTGGGCTAAAAGAAGTAGCAATGACTCCTAGAGAACATTCAGACACCAGTCTGGGAAGTCAGAAGTGGTGGCAAGAGCTCCAGAGGCAGCTCACTGATTTGGAGTGAACTATCCCTAAACCAAAGAACATATCAACTGAGAAATTAACAGAAATTAACTATCAAACCTTTAGGTATCATTTGTTTCTGGAATTCTTCTCTGATGCTCACTAGACTATTTGATATGCTCTCATTGTACTCTGCTTCGTCGTCTTTGCTGCTATTGCTTATTTCAGTTGCTTGCGAGGGCAGGGGCTTTGTCTATCTTGCTCCCAACCGTACCCCCAGGGCCTGGCATTACAAACAGGCATTTCAAGCCCGTGTTCTCATTGAGTGGAAGTGGCAAGAACAAGATATGGCATCACTAGTTCACTGGCTCGTGATATAAAGCCACTGCTTTAAGTATTCCTCCCACCATATCTCATGTTAAGATCAAGACCTAAGTCAGAAGCCACAGGAAAATACAGTTTCACCGGCAAGGGAGCAAGATTGGCCAATAGCAACAGTACGCTTTCCTCCGCACAAGGGGGCGCCCGCTGCCCACTCCACCACCCGGGGGCCTGGAGGAAGGGAGGGGCCGTCAACGCCACACCGGTTGGCTCATCAAAATTCAGTTCAAAGGCAAGCTTTTGAAAACCCCAGTGAGCCGCGGTAGTTTGTTAATCCACCCAACGTTTCCAGCATCTTGACTCGCGGAATGGAGAGGAATTGTAGAAACAAGTACAGCCAACCTCGCACGGCCGTCGATTCTCTATCTTCGGGTGAATTCACTTTTTCCCTTCTTTCACTTCCCACCCACATGCAGAAGAAAAGTTGGGGACAGAAAAGCGCTTAACCCACCTCTGCCTCTTCACCAGGCTTCCATTCTTCCTTTCCTCTCTCCAGAGTCAAGCTCTAGCCCCGCGACCACAGGAGACTTGTAAGCTACACTTAGCTTACAGGTAAACCAAGTAAAAAACAAAATAGAGCCAGTGAGTTGTCCCTCTTGGCTAGTTGCAGACCTCACTTCCCAACAAGCCCTTTGCGAAATCAGACACGAATTGGCAGGACACTTAGAGCAACTAGTTTACTCTATTTTCCCGTGAGATAAATATCCCCAGAGTGGTGAGTAATAAAAATCTCCATGGTTTTTACATCAGAGATCTCATTAGACCCTGTGAAGCCAGTATAATTACCATCGCCATTTTATGGATGTGGAAACTGAGGCTCATCGGGGTCAAGGGGCACACCCAGGGCTATATTTAAAGAGAATGTCATTTTTCCCCCCTTTTAGAACTTCACGGTCTTCCCACCGGCCCTCAACCGGGCCAAAGGGGATGTGCTCTTTCAGAGCCAGGGTAACGACCCAGGTCTCCCAAGTCCTAGCCCAATACTTGTCCAAAGACCGCGCATGCTCTTACTGGGCATGCTTAGGGAAGGGAAGGCCCTGAGACTCTGGGGAAGCCTGAATTGGAGCCCGGCACCCTCGGAGGAAGACCGCGTCCTTCTAGAGTGGGGAAGTCTCCATGACCCGGTCCTCGGGGCCAGAGGCGTGGCTGGCTGTGGCGAGCCAGGGGCCGCGTTCTGCCAGCCCAGCCGGGTCCGGAGACCATTCTAAACCTTTCCTTTCTAACAGAATCCCAAATAGGCAGTGGGAACCTCCTCTCCCCATAGCGGCCACGGCGCTGGAGCTACTCCCGAGGGGGCCGGCGGGGCCTGGCCGAACCTGGCCTACGGGCCGGAAGGCCGGGGAGGGCGGGAGGCTGTAAAGGAAGTGGCGGCACCGGGAGGCCGCTAGGGCGGAGGGGCGGGGCTCCCCGCTTCTCGGCGGCCTCCGCCTCATTTCCCTCGGCACGTTGAGGATCCCTCTCGCACTGACCTATATTCGCCTTTCATATCTCCTCGTCATACCTCCTTTTGTCCGCCACTATTCCCATCTTTCCTATCCTCTCCATTCTTACTCTTTCTTTCCTCCATCTTCTTTCTCATCTCCCAATTTCTTTCCATATTCCATTTTATCTTTTTTTTCATGACTCCCTCAATTCTCATATATTAATTCTCAATACTATATCCTCTAACAAATTCAACATCTCCCTACTATAATTTATATATAAAAAAAAAAAAAAAACCCCCCAACAAAAAAAAAAAACACCCCCCAAAAACCAAACAAAACCCCCCCCCCCCCCCCCCACACAAAAAAAAAAAACCCTCAAACCCCCCCCCCCCCCCCCCCCCCCCCCCCCCCCCCCCCCCCCCCCCCCCCCCCCCCCCAAAAAAATATATAATACTTTATATATACCATACTTCCCCCCCTTTCCCGTTAATTATATAAATATTTTGGCAGAGTCGGCGCTCTCGCTCGAGTCGCATCCCGCAAACATCCACTGAGTTCCCGACGCGTGTGCGCGGAGGCTCCCGGAGTTGGGGCCGCCCCGCGGCCTCTTCACAGAAGCCGGAGCCGCACTTTCCCTGCCGTCAGGCATCAACCGCTCATCACGGGGCCCGGCACACAATAGATGGTCTCTGAACAGGAGGAAAAGCTTTGGGGTTTCTGTGGCCAGCAGTGGCACCCTGCGTCCCGGGTGTGAGCAAAGTGGGGGATCCCCCTGCCTTTCCCCTCCTCCACATACCGGGGACCTCGTGTCCTACTTGGATCCTCAGCCCCACCTCAGGTGGCTAATGAGGACTGTGCAGGGCACGCCCCCCCCCTCCCCCGGACTCTTCTTCCTCATTCAAGCAGTTGCTCTCGTAGGAAGTGGGGCCAAAAAAGAAGAAGCAGCAGCAGCTAACTCAACAAAACCGGCTGTTAGGGAGGAGCGGCCAGTGGGTACCCCGTAACGGAAACTGTTAGAACAAATTTGCACCCTCCTTTCAAGGAAAGAGATAATAAATCCTTCTCCGTTGGTGGATTTCTTGTTTCTCAGGATTCCAAAGCCTTCTGTGGTTTCAGTTATCGGCCCTCTAAACGGAGCTGGGGTCTGGGTTAGCCTCTGGCCACAGCCCTGGCTGAGGGAGGGGTTTATCTTCTGCCACAGCTACTGATGTGGGTGGGAACAAAGGGATGGTTGCTATCTCTCCAGGCAAAGAAAACTAGCCTATCAGTTGGGGGGGGGGTTGGGGGGAGGGACAGGGACGGCACTCTTTGATTACAACTCATTTCAGGCTCTGAGACCTAAGCTGCCCTAAGATACTGTTGTGTGTAAGGTGGGTAAAGTAGAAATCACATGTTAGTCCTGAGTTGGAGAAGGGAAAAAAAAAAAATGGAGAAGACTCTTGCCCAGTTTTTTCAGTGACACACACTTGTTCTCAGTTCCAGAGCCTTGTGAGTGAACCGGCGAAGCTGTGGTGCACACTCGCGACCAGGGCCTAAGGTTGTGGTTGGGGCCTAAGGTTGTGGCTGGAATCTCTAGAAGTCCATGAGGCATTCTTGCAAAGACAAAACTGCTTTGTGAATTCACAAGGGAAAAAGACATGCATTCTTAAGGTTTCCTCTATGCATAACAAATTACCTTAAAAATCTGTTTGTAAAAAGGACAGGGGTCCCTTGTGACAAGTCAGAATGTTTTCTAACAGCTCAACTGCCACCCATTAGAGGTAGAACTTTGTCCAGATCTTCAGCTCTACTTTCCAGCAATTTCTCCTTCCTTTCCTTCTCTGCTGCCCACCCCCCTCCTCTTCCGCTCTGTTTCCTGTTTCATTTTCTGGCTCCTGCTCTGACAGGAAAACAAGAAAGCTGAACCTTGTGCTCTGAAAGCCCTGGCTTGTCAGAATGGGAGAAGACTAGGTGGGATGGGAGGGGGTTCTAGAAGGATCTCCAAGGCTGTAGGTAAGTAGTTGAGGAGGCAGCTCTCCAGTCTGCTTTTAGAGTCTGCAGCTAAAATGGAGCCTGCATCTACACAGGGAATCAGCTGAGCAACCAGCACTGTGGGAGAGCCAGGGAGACAGAGACATGTCCAAGGGCTCCAGAAAGACGCTATACCACCCAGGCACTCCCGTGAAGAAACAAATATCCCATACCACCAACAAATGATTTCATAATATAAATCCCTGACCTAAGCAATACAAGCAATGCATCACTGTCTCCAGAATCCTAGAAAGTAAGTTACAGCATTTGTTTCTTGAACTTGCCTGGCTCTGCCATTGCTGCTTCCCCTGCTTGAAATGTCTCCCTGCCAGACCACCCTTTGGCCAGCCCACTACCTTCAGGTCTCAGCTGAAAGGTGGTCTCCTCAGAGAGGCTTTCTCCCACTACCCAGTCACAACCAGCACCCTGTACTATACCATCATCCCTGTTCTGTTATCTTCATAGTACCTATTGTCACCTGATTATCCTGTCTATGAATTTTACTGCTTTCATTGTCCGTTTCCCTCTTGTGGAATATAAGCTCTGTGAGAGCAGGGGCCCAGTTCACCAAAGTATTACCCACGCTTACACACCATGTGTACTCAGTAAAGATCTGGTTTATAAATCACTTTGTTTAACCTGATACCTATATTTTATGGACGTGGGAACTAGGGCTCAGAAAAGGGAAGTGGCTAGCCTGAAGTCATATAGCTGGTGGAGAAGGCAGAACTTGAATTCAGATCTCCAGGCTATTTTTTTTTCTGCCACTCCACACTATTTTAATCTTTCTCAGGTGTACCTCTTTCTCTTCCTTTTGTTCCACACAACATCTTTATAGGCTATGCCAAGAATCCAGCATAGGGCACACACCATACCTTAACAGTTCCTATCCTTTCCTCCACTGAATTTCTGTTTTATCCTTTGATTTAATCAACAAAACAGGAGTGCCTACTATGTGACAGAATGAGGATGTAGCACTTAGCAAGACGAGGACAAGTCCTTGTCCTCATGAAGATAGTAATATCTACTTCATGGATTCTTTTTTTTTATTATTCGTGAGAGACACAGAGAAAGAGAGAGAGGCAGAGACACAGGCAGAAGGAGAAGCAGGCTCCATGCGGGGAGCCCAACATGGGACTTGATCCCGGGTCTCCAGGATCACACCCCAGGCTGCAGGCAGCACTAACTGCTGCGCCACCAGGGCTGCCCTACCTCATGGATTCTGTAGTGCTTGGCACAAAGGAGTCCATGAAGATGGGCTGTTGTAATTACCCGAACAAAAAGGGGAAAGAGCGATGTTCCCACCGGAGGTGGGAAGTTCGGTAGTTCTCATGGAACACTCACCATGCTGGAGCAACCTGACAACTCATTTCGTTCTGTAGCGGCCTTGCCTTGCTCCTGAACCATATCCGAAGATGGCCTTGGCCCCAGACTGAGCAGAGGAACAGACCAGTGTATCCATTCTCAGTAATTCAGTTTCAGACATTAAACTTTCCATGGCCCCAGTCCTAGGGGAACAATGAAGCAGCTAACCCTGATCCTGGCTTTGAGGCCACATCATTATGGGACGAAAGTGACCACACTGGCTTCTGATTCTGTCACTGCTGGTTGTTAGCAGGCAGGGCTAATGCCTGTGATGACAGGCAGCTATGCCTTCCCAGAACCTCATGCTACATCTTTTCTCTGTGGGCATTCACTGGCAGTTTCCAAGGGGGCTGGGTGAGACATCCATCCTGCAATCTGAGGGGGCACCAATCAAGTTTTGGACATTCCTTTTGGCCTCTGTTGTTATCATTTGAAGATGTTTATCCACTTGGGGACAAAGACCCCACCCTGCCTCTCAACTGCAGGAGCCAAACACTGATCCTTTAAAGGCCATGGACACTAAATATTTTTCATCCTTCCTTTGGTGTTTGCCTTTCAGTAGTTAGAAAACCTTGACCCCACTGAGAGGCCTAGTGGGAAGGGCCTTAGCCACTTGGGGGTGGCAGTGGCTGCAAGGCAAAAGAGCCAATGAGGTTGAGAGTATTGTTTAGGCCAGACTTGGCAGCTGTCCAGCTATGAAAGAAGGTTAAGGTCATTTGGGGGGTGGGGAGGGAGGAGCCTGGGAAAAGAACTACTGGCCACACCCCTGGGTTCTCTACTGGCGAGGTTCTATTTACTTCTCAAAAGCAAATTACTCACAGCTCAGTGGCTAGCAGTTCTCTGCCTGTGGTAACTCCAGTCAGAAACTGGAGGCCAGGCTCGGCTCCCCCTGCATTGCAGGGGAGCAGATGAAAGGAACCCAGGAAACCAAACTCCTAGGTAATGCTCCACACATAGCCCAGAAATGCACTTTCTAGACTAGAAAATGGAGTTCGAGAGGCCTGGTGCAAAAATAGTCATTAGCAACACTGCTCACCAAAATATAGATATGAAAAGCTTCCCATGTAGTTTTTTCCCAGAAGAGTCCCAGTAAGGCAGCTTGGATGACGAAGGTTAGCCATTGTCTCTACACCTCCCTACTCAATCAATAGAGGAATACTGATTATTCATTCCTGTCCTTGACCCAAATATTAACAACCACGCTTAGCTCGATAAACACTTGATTGAAATTCTTGAGACAATTTTTACCTCATGCTGGATACGACAAAAACAAATCATGCCTGCTGAGCTCCACGGCCAGATTCAGTTACTCCTGGTTGTCCTCTGACCCAGGAAGGAGGGCGTTGGTCAGCAGGACCCCGCTTCATGTATGAGCTCAAACCAGCCACTTTCCTCAACTGTATAATCAGAGCCAGAATACTGACCCAGAGGCACAAATCTTCAATCCTCCCTTGTAGGATTATTTGATGTACCACGTAGTCTGGTACACAAGTAGGTACTCACTAGAAAACTGTTTCAAGTTTCATTTTTAAGGTCTACAACAACAGCATTTTTCTGTTACAGCTTCTGGTCTATTGCTGCCCTAAGGAAGGAGATGAAGAGAAGCTGTATATTGCAACATTAGCCTGATAAAAGTAA